TGTAGCCCCCAGGCTCCTCTGTCCATGGGATTCTCCAGGCAAGAATACTGGAGTGGGTTGCCGTTTCCTTCTCCAGGGGACCTTTCTGGCCCAGGAACGGAACCCACATCTCCTGCATTGGCGGGTGGATTCTTTACCACTTTACCACTGGGAACCCCGGGGGAGTCAAGAGGGCCAGCAAAATAGGAATCAAACCAACCATAGACAGGGAAACAATGTTTCTTAAAAGGACACCAATTACAGAGTCCCCATTTGGTGTGTAGCTTCGCCTGTCATCCTCCCAGGCAGCCTCTGTGCGTCTGTCTGCTCAGCTGCTCCCCTTTCCACCCTTTTCCATGAAAGGCTAAGACTCCTATTCTTCCCACTTAAGGCTCTTTCTCTCTCCCCCTTTCCTCTTCCTTCTTTCTGTCTTCCTTCCTCCATCTCACCGCTTCTCGCTGTCTCTTTCTCTCTTTTTCCTCCTTTTAAAAAGTGGAAGCAATGGAGGTGATGTGAACAAAAGTAGAAGGGGTCCGACGACTCTGCCAACATGAGTGGAAGAACCAGAGAGGCCAAGAGGTCAGGGGCCACGACCTGAAAGCAGGTCTCTAGCCCAGCAAAGGGTAAATCTCCCCTTGGGACGCCTCCAGTGACCAATACCTGCTATATTGTGGGCCTGGGGTACTATAGGGCAGGGTTCCCCAGAGCATCTCTGCCTCTCAAAGACCCCACTATGTTTCCCATCACCGCCAGTCTGGGGAAAGGGCAAGCCCCTCTTTCCTATTGGTTGTTGAGGCACCAGATTCTGCTTTCATTTGTCTGATAACTTTACCTTCAGAGTCAGAGCTTGGGTTGTAAAGAGAAAGCAAGCAAACAAACATTTTCCTACACCATACCTCCAAAGTCAAGCTCGGTTGAGGCTTTGGAGAAAAATCCCATAAGCTCTCACACCGCTGCAGAGCAGGGTTCAACATGATGAGAGGAGCTAAGGAGGTGGGGGGTCAGCTTCTGTCATAGGTTTTTGTTTTGTTTTGTTTCACTCCAGGCAATAGTGGAGGCGGTGTTGATTTAGTTGCTCAGTTGTGTTCAACCTTGTAACCTCATGGACTGTAGCCCTCCAGGTTCCACTGTCCATGGGATTTCCCAGGCAGGAATGCTGGAGCGGGGTGTCATTTCCTTCTCCAGCAGATCTTCCTGACCCAGGGATCAAACCCACATCTCCTGCATTGCAGGCAGATTCATTACCACTGAGCCACCAGGAAAGCCCGTCTGGGCAAAGGTGGGCACCGAATGGGGGAGAAGCCCCCCTTGCTGGAACACTGCCGGGCATGCACATTTCCACTCTGGGCACTTCATGCACACTGGGAACAACCAGTGTGGAGGATCCAGAGGGACTGAGGGTGGGAGGTATTGACTGAAGAGCTCATGAGCTTGGACACTGCTCCTGGGGCTGATTGGAGAAGGCAATGGCAATCCACTCCAATACTCTTGCCTAGAAAATCCCATGGAGGGAGGAGCCTGGTAGGCTGCAGTCCATGGGGTCGCCAAGAGTTGGACACGGCTGAGCGACTTCACTTTCACTTTTCACTTTCATACATTGGAGAAGGAAATGGCAGCCCACTCCAGTGTTCTTGCCTGGAGAATTCCAGGGACGGGGAGCCTGGTGGGCTGCCATCTATGGGGTCACACAAGTCGGACACGACTGAAGCGACTTAGCAGCAACAGCAGCCTGGGGCTGATGATCCATAAGTGGATGGATATTCCTCCCTGCATGGGGCTTACATTCTTGAGCGGTGTGGTGGACAGAAAACACAATCAATAGTGAATTAATTAGGTGATGCACGGATTATAAGGGGGCATAGCATCAGGGATGAGATGGTTTGGGAGGGGGTGCAACTGCAGATATATATGTAGTCTTCAGAGTGGGACACCTGCAGGACTGCTTCCAAAAGGGCAGGGCCATGAGAGACCTGAGGCCTGAGTGGCACCAGTGTGCTTCTGGCAGGGTGTCCCTTAAACTACACAATAAGAGTTCCTCTAACTTAGGCAAATAATTATTAATTAATATTTATGAAATATGTTAATCTCACAGAGCAAGTATAAAACATACCAAATTTAGGTCCCTGGGTTAGGAAGATCCTCTGGAGGAGGGCATGGAGATCCACTCCATTATGAGGAGGGCACGGCAACCCACTCCAGTATTCTTGCCTGCAAAATCACATGGACAGAGGAGCCTGATGGGCTACAGTCCACGGGGTTGCAAAGACTGAGTGACTAAGCACAGCACATAGACTTATCATTAATATATGTTCCCAGGTTATTTCTCCAGGGCAAGATATTCTCAGGTACATGCCCCGAGCCATGGACCACCCAAGACCTCCTGCCTCCTGAAACCACGACTCAGAGCTGACACAGATGATAATTAACCCAAGCTTCTTTGTCCTTCCCCTTACAAAAATCCCAGAATCAAAGAGCCGGTGGAAGTGGATCTGAGGCTTGTCTCCCCATTCCTGGCTTGGTGCCCTGCATTTAAGGCTACACTTTCTTGCCTCACATCCCAGTGTCAGTAGATTGACTTTGCTGCATGATGGAAGAGTGGACTTGATTTGGTTTTGGTCACAGTGATGGGATGCAGGCTTGTTACTGGGAGGGCCATGTGGTGACAGCCTCCCATAGTGGAAAGCCAGCAGACAGAAAGCAGAGCCATCCACAGAGCTTGGGATCAAGGGCTGAAGCCTGAAACCAGTGCATCCCGAGTCTTCCTGTTACCTAAGACAGTGAAATACTTTGAGCCAGTCGGAGAGGGCATTCTGTCACTTATAAGCAAAGAAGTCCCGATAGCCACGTCACAGATCTGAACAGATCTGACCGACTTTATTCACCATTTGCTTATTCCCAGATTTGGCACAAGAAGGATAACATCAGTAAGGATTAGAATTGCTGGCTATGTGTCCATGCGCAATGGAGCACACAGTATCTCCCATGTGGCTGAGATGATTGTTATCCCAATGTACAGATGTGTAAGTGGAGCTCTCCACGGCCTGTAACAGAAAAGCCAGCAAGGACCCACTTTGTCACTGTCTTCCCTCTCTGGCTTCATCCTCAGGCTCCACATACTGTCCTCCTGGCCATTTCCAGGGGCTCGGCAAGCAGAGCCTTACACTGACCAATCACTGACGGAATCAGGTGGTGTAGAGCTGGGGGCAGGGGCAGCTCCAGAAGGATGTTCTGAGCACATGCCCAACAGTGAGGAGAGTGGGTCCTGGGCAGAGAATACATGCCACGGCAGCAGGACCACACTGTCACTTGTCCTGGCTGTACAACAGGGTCCAGTCGATTCTCATGGAGAGTTCCTCCATGGTCATGTTCTGCTGTGTCTTTCGCCTCTGTTTTGTGTTCCATTTGGCCCTGGGGCAAGTGGTGGGCTTCAAGGCTGCCCACAAATCCCAGGTCTCAGAGATGAGCACCTCCATCCCTGCCTTTGGGTCTCAGTTCTCACAGACAGGCTTGTGAATCTGAAACCTCTTTCCAGAACATTTGTAGTTCATTGCCCTCCCTGCTCAGCATGTTCAAGGCACCACACAGACTGGTGGGCCCGGCATGTAGAGAGCGAGTGGCACCTAGAGATACAGCAGTCAGATTTCTTAACAACAGAATAGAGGTGATGCGTGAACTATTCAAGTGAACTATGCAGACAAAGGCAGGGCCCTCTCGCCCTTGAACTCATGCATTACACTGCCTTTCCCTCCATCATTTGATTCGAGGGGAGATTTTGCCTATGGTCATAAGATCTCAGGTGTGAAGCCCCCCTGCCTGGTGTAAAAAGTTGTGCTCCCTCTCCCCATGAGAAAAGCAGGGGCTTCACCAACCCGAGGAAGAGTGGGGAGGGGTGACCCAGTGTGCTGGAGGTGAGAAGGGATGCATTCCTACCTGTGGTCCCCACATGCAAACCACTGAATAAAAGCATTAGCCTCTGAGATTGGGAGTAAGGAATGTCTTATCACCATGGTTACCAGGAAATGGTTCCACTTACATATAATAAGGGTCTTAGCAGAAGCCAGGCCATCTGATACTCCCGTCTGGGGCCACATGGGAGGGTGCCTGATGTGTCTCTCTTTATGCATGAACACAGCTGTGGGCCAGGCACTGGCAACACTGCATCTAAAATTTTTTTTAAAAATATGTTTTTGGTTTTTTGTTGAGGTGGGAGTTGGGGACCTGGCCAACTCCTGAAGGACAGAGGCCTGGGCATCTTCACCTAGCACCCTTTTGTTATCCAGGGCTTAACTCTGCGTCTGGCACCCAGCAATGTTGGGTGACTGTGCAGCCTCAGTAGGCAGGGGCGGGTGCCCCAGATACAGAGCTGTAATGGGGGGGGGGGCGGGTATTGGAGCGGCCATCTCCTGTTTAGTTCTCACGCTCCTACCTGGCAGAGAGGTGCCCAACAACGGGAAAAAAGAGAGAGAGAGAGAGAGAGAGAAGTTCCTTTACCCTTCCACTCTCCCTCCCAAGACGAACCTCCCCCCGCCCCCCGGCCCCCGCACACCCTGTAGACTGAGGTGGTAGTCCTGACCGGGACCCCCCGCTGACAGTCGGGGGCCCAGGGTCTCTGGCCCGGCCCCCATGAGTTTCGGAACTCGAAGACGCGGGGTCCGCGGAGGATCCTCGGCACTTGCCGGGCCAGGAGCTCGGGCAGCCAGAGCAGCGGGTATGCAGAGAACTGGGCCAGCCGCGCCCCCGCAGAAGCAAAACAAGAGCACGCGCACCTGTCGGCTCCGCCCCGCCCCCGGGCGCCGGCCAATCGCTGGTAGAGGGCGGGGCCGTGTGGCGGGTCGTGGGCGGGGCCGGAGTGGGCGAGTCGTGGGCGGGGCGGGGCCCCAGAGCAGTAGAGCAGGAGCCCGAGTCCGCGCGGCGCGCAGGAGCCGAGCCGGTGCGAGCGCAGCCTCGTGCCCGCCGCCCGTCCCCGCCGCCGGCAGCCTTGTCCCCGCCGCAGCCGCCGCCGCCGCCGCCGCCCCCAGGGCATGGCCTGTCTGATGGCCACTTTCTCGGTCGGCACCGCCATGGTGAGTGAGCGCATCCGTTGTCCCCGGGGCCGGTTCTGTTCTCCCGGAGAATAAGAAACGCACAAAGACCTGCACCCTGACACCTGCCCGTGAGCCCCGGGGGAGGCGCTCGACTCACATCGCCCCCCGCCCTGGCCGCCTGACGCCTCAGGATGCTGCTTGCAACCGAGGACGCGGGGAAGGCGGAGGGCCAGGGGACGGAGGGAGGGAAGGAGGAGGTCCCACAACTGGACAGATGGCCTTGACCTCGTCCGCCTCTGGGTGCCCGGCCTGGGGACCCATAGCATACTGGGGCGGGGCGGCAGCCTGGGCCAGAGGAAAAGGGGGTCCCATCCCTCTGCCCGCGCGCGTGGCGGGAGCCTGAGGAGCAGGCGCTTCTTACGCTGCTCTCCGGAGCGCCGGCACTGTCCAGGGGAACAAAGGAGAGAGGTGGTCGAGAGCCTGGGCTGCCCTTTCGCCCCCCGGGATAGCCTCTCCCGGACCTGCTCTGGAGGGGGCGGCGGGCGGAGTTACGGGGAGGCAGGTGAGGGGCTAGCCTGGGTACCTCCGGTCACATTTTTCTACCCTGGAGAGAGACTGGGTTGGGGACAAAGGCGCTCATCTCACTCTTCCCAAGGGTGCCAGCTCCGTAGGGGTACCACCAGGTGCAGGAGAATTCTTTGCTAGACACTTACAGTAAGTGCTGTTTCTATAGGTGGTCAGGATTCTCCTCTTGCCCCTTTAAAACAGCTCCATAAACTCACATTAGAAAAAAAGAAAAACAAACTAACTGTTGTCTCACCCATCCCAGGGCCTTTCATTTCTATGCCCAGCACACCGGCAGTGCAGTGAGGTACTTCTGGACTGATTTCAGGTCATCTAAAGTACAGATAGAATAAAGTATTCCATATTTCAAGCCATCTCGCCCTCCCCCTACCAACCCCCCATGCATCCCTCTTCTGTCCTTTGTCTGTGTGTTTACTATCCTGCTAGTCACTTCCCATGAGCTGTAACCCCACCGTGCACAGCACGCACCGGTTTCTTCCCCACCCTTTGCCTTTATTTCATTTTTAGCATCCTGTATTTGAAGTCAGCAGGGCTCCGCAGGATTTGACCGACAGTTACCTCTTGCCTTGAGCGAAAGAAAAAAAAAAAGTAGCCGGGTTTCTGCGCATGCTCTGCTCTGACAACTGCATCCTATGATTCCAAACAGGTTACTGTAGAACATACCCAGCCTCGCCAGCTCATTATATAATGATTTTGTGTAAACCGAGAGAATGGGGCTGCGGACACATTGAGGAGGTTGGCAGAGCAGGAAAGAGCCAGGGGCAGGGGGATCCACAAGCCGTGTCCCATCTCTGGAAGGTCTCTGCCTTTATGACCTAGCTTCTTATATATGAGAGGGATCCCCAAATGAAAAAGGCAGCCCCCTCATGATGTTTGCTTTTATCTGGTTGAATGTTTGGGTAACACTTGACCATTTTTCATTTGCACTTGTTCATTTCTTTGGGATTCCAGAATGATGGTGGGAATGGAAAATGAAGGAGATTATTGTTTGTTGTGGATAAAGAAAGTTTCAGGTCTTGGAGGTGCCTGGTAACTAACTCTTGAAGCCCTTTCAAAGCTGCAAAAGTGCCTTATACATGTGAGACAATAGTGAATCAGAATGTTTTAAGGTAGAGATGTTTTTGTCAAGATTTCCTGAATGTTACCTTACGGTTTGATGCCACACCAGAACTTAGGTGTTTCTTTCATGTGAGGCTGAGCTCACTTTTTTCACAGAATGTTATTTTGTGCGAAAATCATTCTCCCTGAAAACCTTGTGCTTTTTTCAATTTAAAATTTCAACCCAAGTCATAAACAGAGCCCTAGAGACATTCCCAGGGCCCTAAACTTTCCTCTAGGGTCCAGCCCAGGGCTGACTGCCAGGTGTGAGTCTAGAGAAGGTGCCTTGCAGGATGGGAGAACCACCCACCCATGTTCACGAGTCCCTGAGCTGGGCTGGGTGGGGCAAGCAAGACTCCCAATGGAATTGGCATTTGGGGCTGTTGGAAGCCAGGTTTTGGAGACGATGAGGTTGGCACTCTGAGTGACCGTATCAGTGACACCTACCCTCTGCTTAATTAAGGGCTTAACACTTGGGTTCTTTTCCCTATGCAGTGCTCTTGAGGGTGCTGGACCTAGTTTTCCTTTTTTTGTGCTCAAGGGTCCAGTGTGGGGGTGGGGTCTGCCCTCCAAATGCAGGGTTCACTCGTCTAGGTGGACACTGTAGCTGACAGCAGGGAGAGAAGTGGGGGAGAGTGCATGCCAATACCTGGAGCCTGTGAGTTCCTCTTTCCTTTCCCTCCCAAGATGCTGTAAAAAGATGCTGAAAAGTTTCTGTCTCCACCTGGGCTTCCCTGAGTAAAGAGAGTGAACCAGTGTCACTGTGGTCTGGGGTGGGGGCGGAGCTTGCTGACTGTTAGAGACCCTTCCCAGCTAAATAGGTATCTCTATGTGCAAGGAAATCAGCGGCCAAGAAAAAATTCTTACCAACAGCAAGCAGATACAGTCCAAATGGGTCTCCTTGTCACTCAACACCTGTGAATAGACTCACTATTATTTACCGTTTACTATGCGGCACAAATTGTGTGGAGGGAGAGGGCAAAGACAATGCTTCGGTAAAATAGGGAAGCATACAATGAAAGGGAACCAAAGGGGAGGGAAGATATATTTGTTTCATTTTTAATGAGCTCTGGAGGCTAAGGACAAGCTAGCTGTAACCTACATCCTCGGCAGCTCTCATCTGAGGATGTGTTTGAAGAGAGCTGGTCTATTTCGGAATGACAGCCACTACCTCCCATCAGACAGGATTGCAGGATTTTATTAATTGGACACCCTTTGGAAAGATGGGTGATGGTATGCACTGCTTTGGTTGCTTTGGAAGGTGGGCTTGTATGGTTTCCCCAGTCTCTTGTGGATTTGCCTGTGATGGACGGGCTGGGATGGCCTAGGGACCACTGCAATTTGCCTATAGAAAGCCAAGCAGTATTCCATCGTGGTTAGGGATGCTGCCTGTGGGAGCACCCTGCAGGAGCTGGCCCCCAGTGGCCTCTCCTTAGCCTTGGGGCCTCGGGCTCTGTGAAATGGAGCGGAAAAGGGTATACCCCCTGTCGAGCTGTGGAGAGAGAAGGGGAGTAATCCATGCAGCCTGGAGTGTAATGGGCACATTGTCGTGCATTACTGAATGAATAGTCGTTATTGTTCACAATCGTTTATCTACCACGCAGGAGGCATAATAATTCAAAACTTTATATAGGAAGTTCAGGCCTCTGGTTTCTCTTTTTCAGTTCCATATCAGTTTACTCACCCAGCTTTGTCCCACCATGGCCCGTCCATCTGTCTCCCTCCCCACTGCACTCACTCCCACCACCCCCCTGCCACCTGGGCTCCGGCTCCCTGCGGACTTATTCGGCTACTTGCTACTTCCCCCTTGACACCCCTCTGCGGCCCGCAGAGACCTCCGGATAGAGCGCAAATCCCATACCAAGCTTGGCAAGCCCTCTACCGTGTGGACCCGGTGAGCCTCTCTAGTCCCATCTTGTTCCAGAAGCCCTTTCCCCCACCCCACATCAGCGCTCCTGCCCCTGAATTTCCGGTCTCCAGGTGCTTCGCCCTCTCATGCTGCCCAGCCTTTGCATCTGCTGTTCCCTCGCAGGGAAGGTCATGAAGCAACACCTCTCCTCCACCTCCCCTTGCTAAGCCCAGCTCACAGTTTATTTCCTCAGAAGCACCGTGTGTCCCACACCCCAAGGCCCACGCTGCACTGGGTGACCCCTGCGGGTCCCAGTAGCATCTCCTTCTAGCCCTGGTCCCTTCGTATTGAAATTCTTTGGAGCCCAGTCTTGACCCTGAGCTTGCTGAGGCCACAGGCCATATCTGGCTGGCTGGCTGCTGATCCCCAGGGCTTTATCTGGGCTAAGAGTGACAGAGGGAGGGAGTAGATAAGCTTGGAGTCTAGAGGGGGAAATCAGACCCCCGTCATACTCCAGGTTGGCATCTGCTCCAGTTGGGAGGAGGGTGGAGTAACGGCTGCTCATCCCCGTGTTGTGTGGGCTTCATCAGCTCTGTGAGACCCGACCTGTCTCTGAGCTTCCTCAGGATGGCCCACCTTGGCTGGAGGGGGAAGGAGGCCACGCCCTGGGGAGGGGCTGCTGGAAACTCCTTGTCCCTAACTGAACACAAAACGATTGGCCGCCCAGGCTTTAGAGCCTCAGGACGAGACGCAACCATCTCACCTTTCAAGGTGGGGGCTGAGGACGGACTTTGGGGACCAGGCCTGGAGCTAACTGCCCTGCCCATTGGTCTCTCCACTACCCTTTGCGTGCGTGCGTGCGTGCTCAGTCGCGTGGGACCTTTTGCGACCATGGACTGTAGCCCGCTAGGCTCCTCTGTCCAAGGGATTCTCCAGGCAAGAATACTGGAGTGGGTTGCCAACCCTCCTCCAGGGGATCTTCCTGACCCAGGGATCGAACCCCTTTTCCTGCGTCTCCTGCACTGCAGGAGGATTCTTTACCGCTAAGTTCCGCCCCACCCCCCAAGCCCTTCCACTGCCCCACCCCCGGCCAAAGCCAGGATTGGTGCTTCCAGGACTCCTGTGGAGTCAAACTGGGTTATAACTCGGGGAAAGAAGCTCCTGTTCCCGGAAGGGCAGGACAGGTGGCACAGGGATGGCATTTGGGTGGCACAAGGATGGCATGCTGGAGTTGAAGGTGAGCGTCGCACTGGTGGGTCAAAGGCAAGCTCGTGCAGAAGTGGGGCAGGGTCTCTGTTGTTCCTTCAAGGGGCCCCGTCACTGAAGGCACTGGGCCTGCGCGGATGCGGAAGCCCTGCAGCTCCCTCCTGGGCGCAGGAGGGGCTCCTCCACAGCCCAGGCTCTGAGGAGGCCCGTTGTCAGGCTGACACAAACCCGATTGTGTGGGGGATGCACGAACCCACTCATGTTTGCGTTTGAAGCACTTCACGTGCTCGGTGCCAGCGGCAAAGCAAGATTAATTTTGTCAAGAGTTTTACTCTGCACTTTTTTATCCACAGAATGTTACAGTCAATGAACTAAGTTCTGATGCAGTAAAGCTTTCCAGAGGTGGGAGATGCCTGGGAGGTGTGTGTGTGTGTGTGTGTGTGTGTTGTGTCTTTTTCTTAAACAGCAAAACAACATTTTTAAGCATCATAAGAGCCAGAAACCCCTGTGGTCACATCTCCCCATCCCCTTACTCCTGCTTTAAAAATCTGAAACCTCCAAATCCTCTGATATTGCAGGGGACCCTTAAAATCAATGATGGAAATAATGTCAGCTGATTAAGGATGCAGTCACTGTACACACGGGAGGTCATTCTAATGGGGAGACGGCTTGTTTTGGTGACTAGAGTTGCTGGGGTTTGTAAGAATGTTTTTTGATGGTCCACTTTCTGGTTTTGTTTTAGATTTTTTATTAGAAACAATAACGATAAGAAAGCCATCAACTTTAAAGAAATACCCCACAAACCTATGGAAAAATAACAGTGTGATATTATTCCTATTTAGAACAAATAGCAGTATGTCAGGGGCTACCCAGCCTTACAGCCATCAGAAGGGCCTGAATTATCAAGGATGGTCATCCAGATCAGACCAGATCAGGCGGACTGCCTTCAACAGTATGGAGGTGTGTCACTGGAGGCCCACGCTTTTGGCACGGGGGAATGTTCTCTCTCGATTCAAGAGACAGCTAGAAAAAGCACAGCACATTATTTGTCCACCCCAGGGTTCTTCTGTGTTTTGGAGGTGCCTGAAGCATATTGATTTGTTCAGCATTGCCAAGCCATTAGAAAGGATATTCCTTTCTCTGCATAAATACTTTTGGTTCTTGGGTCATCTGTTCAGTGGACTCACAGTGGAAGCCTGAAAGGCCAGTGGAGCTACGTATTAGGTATCCTGATGATGCAGTGGAAGAGGCACCCATTTTTATGGATGACTCATATTCTGGGATCCCTTCTGCCCTTCACTTGATTGTAGAGCTCAGAGCAAGTTCCTTAAAATAGTCTGTGCTTCAGTTTCCTTGTCTGTATCACAGAGAAAAAAAATCAAGCTTCCCAACACTTCAGAGCTATTATGAAGAGACAGTGAGAGAGAAGAGTTGTAGGGGGTTTGGAAAATTTATAAGGAAAACACAAAGACCAACTCCCAGTGGTCCAAGCGATACCATTGCTCTTGAGAATGTGTATGAGGTTATACCAGGGAGGTACTGAGCGAGATCATCATAAAGCTTTTTCAACTGTGCATTTCTTAGCAGTCTCACTCATTTTTGTTGGGTTTTTTAACAAGTGGACTGTAAGTAGGTAGTTTTTTAGGGTGGCTGATGTTTCATTCTTTGAGAGAACTGGTGTATTTATTTTGGTTTTGTGATTAGATGTTATGGTTGCTAAATAAGACGGTAGATCAGTTTCATAGTTTATCTTTAGCATATTTACAGCGGTAGAAGAAGTGAGGGCTGGAGAGAGGGAATTCCTCTAGGGGAGCACCCGTCCTGTGCTGCTGAGGGCACGGTGGAGGGTGAGGAGTGTTGACAGATGGCGCCGACCGATGGACGGCTCTGTCCCTGTGGGCCTTGCCGTGATGTAGCCGACACCCGCTCTCGACGCTTCTCTCCTGCCTCTCTAGAACGGCTCTTCAGGGATGACCGAGCCCAAGTCAGTGTGCGTCTCCGTGGACGAGGTAGTCTTCGGCAACAGGGACGCCATGGAGAAGGAGCTGCTGAACGGACATCTGAAGAAGGAGGACAACAATCTCACAGAAGCCCAGCGCCTCTCCTCCCTGCCTCGGAGAGCGGCAGTGAACATCGAGTTCAGGGACCTCTCCTACTCTGTCCCAGAAGGCCCCTGGTGGAGGAAGAAAGGTAGGGAGCAGAGCTGCTGGGAGCCTTTGGATGGCGGGCGGAGCCTTCGGATGGTGGGCGGAGCCCTCGCGGTGGGCGGAGCCTTTGGCAGTGGGAGGAGCCTTGAAGGAATCATCAGGTGGTTTGGGAAAATCGGGGTCTGGAAGGTGGGGGACTGTCTCTTTCCACTCGGGCTCTGCTGTGGCCAGTCTGCCTAATTGCTTTATGTCTGACTTTTTGCTTATCTATGATATGAACAGATCAGATTAGATGACTCGAGAGACACAGTGTTTTTGTTCTTGTCTTTTTAATTGAAGTGTAGTTGATTTACAATGTTGTGTTAGTTTCCGGTGTACAGAAAGTGAGTCAGTTTACACACACACACACACACTTTTATAGCTTCTTTTTCATTAAAGGTTATTGCAAGATATTGAATATCTTTCTCTGAGCTACACAATAGGTCCTTGTTGTTTATCCATTTTATACATTGTGGTGTGTATCTGTTAACCCCAAACTTCTAATTTATCCCTCCCCTTCTCCCTCTGGTAGCCACAAGATTGCTTTCTGTGTCTGTGAGTCACAAAATAGTTCTTAACCTCTGATATGATCACAAAGTTTGACCAACGTTCCTGTGTGCTGGCTTCCAGTCTGAATACGGAGGGTTCTCTTTACTGGGTGCTGTTAATGGTAGTATTTCAAGATGGGACTTTTTAATTTTTTTAGTTTCAGAGGAAAATGGAAACCAGGGGTTTCCTCCCATGCTCGAAGTGTTGAAAAGTAACCAGTGACCTAGGGTAACCTCTCTGGAAACCAGTTGTGTATGTTTACAGATCTTGAAAGGATCAGGGGGGTGTTGGTGGGCTAGCCATAAACACAGAAGAATCAATGGAGCAGGTGAGACTTCAGAGATCTTGGGAGACGTGCACACACAGGAGTTTGCCGCTGCCCTTTTGATTCTCGTTGGGAATCGACAACTGGTGGTATTCTGAGTTTTCTTAGAAATGGAGATGCTCCGTCGCTAGCTCTGGATTTTCGGAGTGTAAAGTTGATGCCTCCCTGGGTTGGTATTTCTTTTTCTTCAAGCCTGACTGACTTCTTCCCATGGAATTCACTCCTCATCCACCTCAGCTCTGTGTACCCTCCCTGTGTCCATCTTTGGAGGCAAAGGAGGGCGGTGACTGGGAGAGGACATGTTAGATGTCACCCAGAAATGGTCTTTACTTTCTAACGAACCATTTAAAACAACTGGAAAATCATGAGGCGTTTGGAACAAAGTGATTCTGGTACCTTCTAAATGTTCATATTGTTTAAACTTTTTCCTAGACTCTATCCTTCTTCCTTTATGAAGAAGACCCACCAAGACTCACTTTTTTTTTTTAACTTCCCTCTGTTGCCTTCATTTTGTTTCCTACTGCCTTGAAGTGAATCTGTTGAGACGGTTGGTGTGGCACTCCAGAATTCCTTGGAACCATGGTTTTAGAGCCTTGATTGACAGATCCTTGGGACCTTGGAGCCAAGCTGACTATGGGATGACTGTGTGTCTGTTACCACAACCAGGAACAGATCCCAAACAGATACTATCAGCATCTGATAGTATCTGAGTGATCTGAGACTTATATTTTCAGGGTGTGCCAGCCTGTTTCATTAACAAAGAAATTCTGTGAGAGGCTCAGGAGCCTATTTGTTTGAGCCTTTTGAAATTTCAACATAAGTTTCCAGCTTTTTCCTTCTCCACTTGAACAAAGAATTTTATTGAAAAAATGCACTAAGTGACTAGGAGGGCATCGTAAGGTTTTGACCTGATGTGTCTCTGTAGATAAATGGTGGCAAACCTGTGGGAGACATGAACAGGTTTCTGTCCACATCTTATGTGTGGCCTTAGAAATGTGATCATGATGTTAGAAGTGCTTAGATGGGTATTTTTCAAATGGAGACAACTTGCAATGCAGAGATGGCGACATTTGAAAACGGAGGCAGAATTTTGGTTTGAAATCCAACCTGGCAGGTGTTCACTTGGGGCTCTGGCAGGTGAAGAATGTCATTTCCTGGCCAGATGTGTGGCTTGCCCACACTATAGTCTCTACTTGTTAGAACTGGTCATGCTGATTGTCAACAGAAATGGCCTCTTAATTAGCGAGGGAGAGGCCAGTGGCCTACTAGGAAGCCTTGCCCAGGTGGCTTCCGGGTAGACACTTGCCCTGAAGTAACCTCTGTGTGGGCTCAGGATGGGGGGCTGGGTGGAGGAGTAGGGTGTGGGCCCCAGGGACCTGCCTGTGAGTCAGAGATGGTTAGGGACGGAGTGGAAGGCAGGCTGATGTGTCCGGGTTGCTGATTTCTCAAGCAGCGAGGCCTGACTTCTCCATCTGGCTTCCTCCTTGGCCTCTGTGGCACCTATGTCTGCTCCCCCTGGCCCTGCCCTCCTTCCCTGCGCTCCATCATTTCCTTCGTTCTTGTTGCCCCGGCGGTTTATCACTCCCGCACACCCGGAGGCTGGGGAGTACTTGTCCACCTTCTCACCAAATACAGAGGAAGCAGCATGTGCAGGACTTGCTCCGAGCCTCAGCTTCGGGGACAGGCTGGAGGCTGGACAGTGGTTTCAGACTCGGTGGTCCAGCTTGGTGCCCAGGCCACGCCTGGCACAGGGCCTCGGAGCTCCGGGGTCCCTGCGGCCACAGGGCAGCGGTGCTCTTCTCCAGACTCAGTGACGAGGCCCGCTCTGCTGCTGCCCATCCAGCTGGCCAGCATCTCCCCTTTCTCTTGGTGGCAGCTTTATATTTGGCGTCACCTCTGTGTGATGTGTGATGCCAGGTGTCATGCCGGGTGCAACTGACTGTTGGGGCAAGAGCTTTTGCGCTTTCTTCTCTCACCATGTTCTCTGTTTTTCTGTCTGTATTGAGTTGTTTGTTTTCTAAAATTCAGTGTTATGTGCCGAGCTCACTATAAGGATCACAGCGGGGCTGAACGCAGTGCACCGAGGAGGGGAGAGGTGTTTCTGAAAGGAAAATGAGAGTGGTGGGTTGAGAGGGTGATGTGTTTCAGGACTGCCTGGTTGTATAGTGAGTGAAGGACACAGGAGCCTGAAGGCTGGGGTTATCGCTCAAAGTCAGAGTCAGCACCTCCACTCGGCCTTGGATTCCTGCCCAGGCTTCTTCCCCTCACACAGACACTGGTCCACTCAAGTAAACTCCAGGAAAGCCTCCCCCGACCCCCATCCCAGAGCATGGTGCTATACACTAACTCAACACAGAATGCTGTGGCAAAGTCTGTCACTGGCGTTAGAATAATATCACAAGCTCCTACACAATTATTTTAAAGAAGATGGAAAAAGGACGCTTCATAACCCTTAGTGGAAAGGATGTGAGTGAGTCCATGTTTAAGAAGGCGATGCCAGCCCTGGTTCTTTACAATTCTTGAGCTTGATGATTGCCAGGCGTTGGCTGTGGCCTTTAAGAAACGTCTTGTATTTTCAATTGTAGGTACATTTTCACTGTATGATTAATGATGTCTTTAGGGAAAATGTGGATCGTGTAATAGATTCCTAGTAGAGAACATAATTGTGAAAGGAACTGTTCCCAGGAGAAAAGAGCGCCCCCCAGAGAGGATCTCACTGACTTCTGATACAGTAATGACTTTCCCCCAAGGAATTTACTCCTGCAGCCGGAGTTGATGGGACAGATGACTGGGAACAATTTGGACTTTGGTATCATAACATTAACTAGTCACGTGAACTATTGTGTTGAGGGACATAGGGGAACGTCTAGTGTAATTGTCCTCACTTACCCCAGTGTGACTTAAATTTGAAAGTAGCTTTTGCTTTGCGGAAGCAAGGCACTGCGTTGGTGTTGGTAACATTTAGGACCCTATATCTATATGGAGTGCCGGGCCGACAAGAGGACCACTATGACATGGGTGAGCTTCACCCCTTTTTACAAAACCACTAAGGGTTGCCTTGACTGTTACTTCTGATTTATTTTGCCTTTAATAGGCCTGCCTGGATGTCAGTCACCTCTGCCTTCCACAGGGACCCACAAAGAGGCTTCCTGATCTCTTGGAGAGGCTTGGCTGTCCTGTCCTCTCCCCAGGGAGGTGAGGCTGATGTGCCTGACGTGCTTTGCACAAACAGGTGACTTGATTCTTAGAAATGAAATACACCTCCCCAGATTACCTGTGGGTTGAGAACAAAAGGAATCCTAGCTGGGGCCTTAGAGAGTCTTCTTTCCTCTTCCTCAGCCCGGCTGGGGTCTCAACACGCTAACACTCTGATGGAATGGGACAGCACCTCCTACTCGGAAACCAGACCCTCCAGCCTCATCCTTGCCAAATGCCAGGATAGAGTTAAACATTCTGGGCAGCCCCACATCGGATTATCCATATTGGTTTGCTTCTGAGCCATAAAAATGCATCTGAAGGCCCTTCTCAAATTCAAGTTTGCTTTCTCTTAATTTCCACGGCTGTTTCACAAGGCCTGCAATGACAGGCTGGCTAAAATGAGTAGAAGGTGCCATTAAAATCCCTTTCAGCAATTCCATTAAGGGGAAGACTGGATTCCATCCCAGCACTGGGTGACTTGATCCAACTGGTGGGGACATGGATGGGGAGGAAGGCCAGTGAAAGGAGGACTGTAGAAATCCCAGAGCAGTGAAGGGGCTCTCAGGGGTGGGCTGCTTAGGTGTGAAGGCAGGCTTATGCTCTTCTAGCATGAATGAATTACTTTTTTAAAAAATTAATCTTTATTGGAATATAGTTGCTTTACTATGCTGTATTAGTTTCCACTGCACAGCACAGTGAATCAGCCATACATAAATTACTTTCATCTTCTATGGAACTGTCATGCAAAGGCAAGCTTTCTTTGGGGTGCAAAGAAAAGTCTTCTGATACTCTGCCTTTGTTTTTGAGGCCATGGTTGGTCTTATGGTGCAGTGTAGCACACCTAGGCCTTGCTTACGAGGGTTCCCTGCTTGATGCTGGGGTGTTGACATGGGGAGCCCAATGACCCCAGGTCACCTTGGTGAATGGAGACA